CCATAGAAAAAGATAGATAAATAAAAATATGTGATCCGTAAAAAACGTACCAACTGATGATAGTAAAAATTTACTACAATCCCGCAATTTTCTCCGGTAATCAAAAAAACCACAACTTATTCCTATCGAAAATTCCCTTTCAGCAGTATATATATTAAAAAATTGCAGTAAAAACTATACTAATAAAATGCATTGTACTTATATTATTATTATATTCGGTACCAATTGGATCTGCACCCGTTATCCAATCAGCAAAATTAGTTGAAAATCATATTGGCATCCATAATAGTTTTACAATTTTCTTACGTTTCTTTTGAACGAATAAGTACTATTACTCTATTAATTTTGCTTTTTAAATTATAGCTTTTTTTTTGCTTCAATTAGTAACTATTACAAGAATTAATTGAGCATCATTGGTGTCAGTAATAGTAAAATTAATATTTTTCAGACCCCTTAAACGAATTGAGAACTTTTCCCCATTGACTTTGTTTCATAAGAGCATAGATTATTTTTTTTATTTTAATTCAAACTTATTACAAAGATTAATTAAGCATCATTAGTGTGAATAATAGTATGGTGATTTTTAATGCTTCTCCTAAACAACTTTTTACCATTTCCCTATTAATTTTACTTTTTAGTACATAAGTTATTTATTTGTTCCGAATACCGCTGCTTTTAAATTATTTAGTTTCATTGGAACAACTTTTTCAAGCATAACTCTAAACGAAATAAACACGCAATTTCATATAACGTTGGAAATACTAATTTTCTAAACTGATTTAAATGCTAATTTTAATTGTATTCCACCTATCCACTTAGTCTACATTGAATTTATCTAATTTATCTACATTGTCTAATTTATCTAATTTGTCTACATTGAATTTATCTGAATCTAACTTAACAAATGAAACTTATTTATTAACTTATTTATTAATTAATTATCTATTAATTATCTTGCTAATTAATATACTAATATACTAATTTATTATCTTATTTATCTTATTTATCTTATTATCTTTTATCTTATTTATTAATAAATAAACTTATTTATTAATTAACTTATTCAATATCAAAGTAAGTGCCGACCGGCCTAAGTAAGGGGCAGGGAACTGTCCTTGCATCAGAAAGGTCCTGGATTCGAATCCCGGGCAAGGCATAGATGTTTCTTTCTCTCTCTGTGAGTTCTACGTCCTTACTCCTTTGTGTGCGAATGTAAGTGAATGTAATCCGCCTATAAGCGGGTTGTGGTTGCGTGACTGGCTAGGCAGAAGTCGAATTACTGGCCATAGATGGCGCCACTGAAAAACATGAACAACGATAAAAAAATAAAAGGAAGTGAAATAAACTCTTTTTTAATGAACGAGAGATATAAGTTAATATTCGGAAAAACAGAAATGTCTGCAGTTCCATTTTTATCAAATGCTAGTTTTAAACCAATGGAAAAATTCTATTTTTTAAATGTATCTCTAGAGCGATCTAGTTGAAATTTTTGATCGATCTAGTTTAAATGGCCCTCTTTACTCACAGCCTAAATTTCAACATGCTAGCATAAACGTTTCTATAGAAATACGAGAGAGGCACATATTAACGAGACAAACTATGCATTCTAATATATTGGATAGTAGATATGTAAATGTTGCCAGATGTAAATAGTAACAATTCCATCGGGGGGGGAAATTTAAATATAAAGGACTCAAAGGAAATAAAAACCGTTTCCAATATGAACTTGCGGCATTAACTACCGCTACAAATATTAAAGTTATCACTACTCTTTAGATTATGAATGTTAAATAAATGTTAGAAAATCCACTATTAAATCTCTTTGGATTAGTAATTTAAAGTTAAATTTAATTTTCTAGAATATTCCACCAATTGATTGAACCAAACACGAGTTTTTATAAATTAGAGAGACATATTATAATTAGATTTTAGCATTTTACTAAATATCTTTTGCTGAGGAAGAATTTCAAAGGTATTCTAAATCAACCGCAATTCAAATAATCAAACACGCACACACCTGAACATCTCCTTCCACGTCTTCACTTANATATAGCACCATAACTCAAATATTTCTCTATTAGCGACACTATAATTATTATTCATTTTGTTAGGTTATCTTAAGCAATAATTTAAGTAGAGTTAAATAATTAGCTATACGTAGTACTTATTGAGAAAAATTTTGCTTTTTTATAGAACTAAAACTTAGTTACTAAATAATTATTTAGATTTATTTTTAATCCTTTCTAAAAGTTGATTTATGCTATTTTTTAACCAATTGGAAAAATGGGTGTTGTTTTGGGTTTGATGACATGCGCACCTTATTTGGACGTCATCACACTTTTCAACTGTGTTCAAGAGTTATAGTAAACAGTGCGCATGCACCGTCATTGCATGCGTTACTAAGGCGATATTTTTTTAGAATTCTTTTTTTCTCTTTTTATTTTCGCCGGCAGGCATTTTTTATGTATTTACATAATAATAATTTAAATTATTTTTATATTCTTTTTATTATTAACTTATAATTACTGTCGTCTTGACTGTGATTTTAATACAAATATGAATATTGACGAAGGAAAAGTATTTTGTGACGTCTTGAAACACGTATCTAGGCAGGATTTGAAAACCAATCCGAGGACAAGAGGAGAAACATCAATTGAAACAGCTTTTTATTATTTATATCGTTTTTTTTATTTATATCATTTTCTTATCTATATCATTTTTTTTATTTTTTTATTTATTTATTTGCTTGTTCATTTGCCGGAAAGCTTTTTTAGCTCTATATTTTAAGCAAATTAACTGTCACCATATGGGCAGATAATTATCAAACCTTCATCTATCAAAAAGCACCTCCAGATAGAAACAAGTTAGCATGTCTTTCATACTAGTGAATTGGTATTAAATATTTATAGTGGTAGTTGCGCCACATATTCACCAATTGATAACTGCAATCAGCATGTGTCTTATTTGGAACAGGATCTGCTTTTATGCATCTCGGAGATGATTGCAGCTCTCCTATGTAATATGTAATACCCGAAGTGTAAAGGTACCGAGTTTATGTCACTGACAATCATTTCATCGACAGCTCACATCCTCAATACGGGCACTTCGCCGACTGATCATTTCGCCGACAAGATTACAAAAACGACAGCTGACAACAATGACACTATCACATTGTTACCAGCTCAATTCGCCGACACGATCACTTCGCAGACATGATCATTTCACCATCATGACAAATTTAATTTTGATATATAATTTGCTGTAGTCATAAATATGTTTTTAATTACGTCCTTAAAATATAGTTGTGACCTGGGAAAGCAATTATTAAGTCATAAAAAATTTGAATTGGAGTGCTTAAATTTTTAATTGACTTTTGTTGCACAAAATATTCATTTTCGAAAAATAATTCAAAAGTGTTTACCTAGAGTTTAATTCAAAAAAGTATCCATTACTTAAAAAAAAAATATGTCATTGAAAATAGGGGTAGTGCGTTTGAAATAACTTTATTCCATTCCCCTAACTTTCCCTTTCTTTATAGTCCTAACGTTCCTCTTTTATATCGTCCTATATATAGATAATTTATTATTTCGTTATTTTTTTACAAGAGTCATTGAAAATTCTACCATTTCAATTATTTCGTGAGCCCTTTTCGTATACCTTACGAACAAATTGGAAGTTTCTCAAACTATCTGAAGATATAAACAGCTTATAGTATGATATATAATGAAACGTAACAACAAAAATGTAAAGCTAATATTCGTTTTTACATCAGTTATATTACATTGTATCAGTTATATTCACAGACATTCAATTTCATTTGTTGATATATTTCCCAGTTACCATTTATTTTAAATTTACCCAGTAAATTTAAAATGTAAATTCTGTTTATAAATTCTAAAAAACCGCGCATTTCAGATACTTTTTTGCTGTGCTTTTTTACTTTATAAAGTAGTTTAAAATAATGCCATTGAAGTTATATCTTTTTAAAATCGAAGAATACGTGAAACAAGTGTGTTTTTATTTATATCTCTAGGGTATCTGTAACTGTAATTTAAATAATGTAATATCAAGTAATAAAATAAATATGTCTAACAAATATTCAGTGCGTAAATTCGCTGATAGGATTCTTTTCAAAATTCTTTTCAATATTTTTTAGCATATACAATAAGTAACAAAATCGGTATTTTTTTTTATAAAAATTGGTATAGTTAAATTTTTATAAACTTGTGACTACGCTCTTCATCTATATTTCAATGTAGATAAAGAGCGCTATTACAATACATTCTTAAAATTTTTCTTCATTTCTGCAGCAAAATTTTGTTTAGAAATCAAGGAAAAGATTTCTAGAATTTCGCAGGTATTCATATTAAATTATTGTATTTCCTCAATAGAGATGTTTTATTTTTGTAAGAAAAATTCATTTTCTCTTCAAAGATTTATTGCATTGCTTCTCTATATGATCAAATGTTTAATAACAAAATTTTGTAACGTTATTTAATCAGAGAGTAAAGAAATTTATTTATCATCCGAGTGATTAGTGAATGAAAACGACAACCTTCCAGCACGCATCCACCAAATTTAAATCCTTCCATCACATTAAACATGATTGATCTGTCATGGAACACAACCAAAACAATAACCATCACCTCTTTAAAGAAACGCAGCTGTCGGTTACTTTTGCCTAACTACGAGGGCTGTTTTTAAGTCGTGTACTCTAATAATTGTCGTATTGCCATAATGTCGTGTACTCTAATAAGTGACGCGTGCTCGTAACGATTGCTTGCGTCGTGTCCTGGCATTCCTTGGGAACAACTGTGCTTAGCTACAGCAGTATAGATAACCTGTACAGTCAGTTCTGGGTCTTTAAAATATTCAAGTTTAGCAAACCACACGCCCGAACCTTGTGCTAAGTGATTTTCACCTTTTNATATATATATATATATATATATATATTTGTATGAGTGTGCAAACATACAATTTCAAACAAAATAATCCAATAATTTTACAAAAAAATTTTATATTGTTTTTTATTTAGTGTCGCTTTGCATTTGGTTGGTTTAACCGAATGTTATGCGATAAGGAATGCTTTCTCCTTTTTTTTGGTGGAACAGAAGCTGATCTTCCACCTGGCAGACGTTTACTGCCCCTAGTAATTTGAGCAGAACGTCTTGCTATTGATGTTGGCTGCACGCGAATAGCTGCGCCACTCCTTCGTCTAAAATGCAAGCAATTGCCAGCAGTATGTAAAAATGTCTCCCAATTACCGGTGGATTTGATACTTTTCATGCGTTTAAGGAATGCATTTAGTCCATTTAAAGATGATTTATAAATTTCATCCTTTTTTGTGATTTCTTTAAAAATCTCTTTAATCAAGTCTTGGCGTTTTTCTTCATAAGTTTGAGTTTCTCCCTCTTCACAATCATTAATTAAAATTTCTTCCTCTGTAACTATATCTTGCTTCGTTTGTATAATAGGAGCTTTTGAAACCAGTGGCTCAAAGAATTCTTTTGGGGGTGCTTTATCTCCTAAGGCTAGTATAGATATTTCGTGCCTATCTTCTGCTAAAACAGGGGGAAAATTTCTTGACACTATATCATAGTGATGAAATACTGAATACTGATGTTTACAAAAGCGACCATACAGTCCCACAGAACATGAACAACAACCAGCTTTTACATTAACAAAATATGTATCTATGCCACTCTTAACGGAAAAGGTATGAGTATCATGCATTTCAATGTCATTTTTAGTTATAGAAAGTGCTTTCTTCTTTAAAGAAAGAAGAAACAATCTGCTGGTTGCAGAGCGGTTATTTGCAAAATCTCTAAATTTTTTAACATAATGCATCTCTAAGTGGGTTGAAATAAAATCTAAAATTGTTAAAACATTGTACGCCTTCACTCTACAAAGGACCTCATCCTTAAAAATACGAATACATACTTCTGAAAAATTATTAGTGTTGTGGCCCCTCACATTCTCATTTCTGAAAGCCAAACACCACATTTCTTTAGTTTTCCACCAATTTCTTACATATTGGTTCCAATTTTCATAAGTTGGAAGGTAAGATCCAATGTAACCGCAAGAGTTTATATACGCTTCTTCTGCTTCATTAAATGTCTTAGCATACAATATGTGTTGAAAAAACATCATCAAAATATTTCTATGCTCTTTGGGAATTTCATGTTTAGAGTCCCAAAGCCATCTCCACACAGCTTGTGCAACGTGAAAGATGCATAATAAATTACGTAATAGAGGCCATACATGTCTTAAAGCTTTGATTTCTGCTTCAGAATCATCTGTCATAAATATTGATGGGTATCCTACTCCATAAAATGGCTTTTCTAATGCTGCATGTAAGAGGTGAAAACCTGTTTTATATGCTTCCTCTGTTTGTCCTTTTGTTATAATAACAGCAAGTGGAACAGCCCCAGCAGAACAGGGACATAACATAAATGTAATACTGTGATTATCAGGATCACAAGAAGATGTTGAATCAACAAAAACTATCTCACTTGAAGATTTTAATCCATGTGCTCTTTTCATAATGGGTGTAACAATTGCTACGGCAAACGGTTCTTCATTTAAACGAACGGTAATTCCGTTTTCTTCATATGCTTTCGACTTATCCTTTAATTTCTGGAAAATATGAGGTTATTAAAATAAAATCAACAACTGCAATATCAAAATAAAATCAACATTTACGGCAAAAGGAAAATTTTGTATTTTAAAACAAATGACTTACTTCAATTACACCTTGACCGGTTCTTGGACCAAGATTCAGAAGTCGCCATTGATCATACCAATACTGAACAGTTCTATACGAAGGGTTAATTCGGCTATTAGCCATGTCTTCTTCTGTAAATTCATCTTTCAACTGCAAAATACCTTCATGATATTTACAGGATTGAATAATACCCAAACCATCATTGAAATATTCCATGAACTTTTCTTTTGAGTCTATAGAGGGAAGAAAGTTTAATGCCTCTGCTGTATTTAAGCTGTGATTATGTAGATCATTGAGTGTGATGACTGCAACCAGTCCTTTCTGAAATGAGCAAATGATCAGAATAATTTCAAGTATTGATAAAATGTGTAAATAAGAAGGAAAAATTTTATTCCAATTTAATCAGTATAATTAAAAATTTTCACTTCTACAAAACTTTCAATTCTACAAAACTTTTCTTTCCTTTTATAATCATTTATGTTTTGTGCCTGTCCTCTCATATTAAAGTTTTCTAGGCACGTTTTTATCTTCTACTGTTGTTACCATATCAGGAATCAGAGCCTTCGGTATGAAACCGAGAAACAAAACAGTAAACAGTGGCGTAAATAACACCCCTGCATAGTGAGGGGGGACGCACGAGATTTGAGGTTGATGTTTGAGACATGATTTAGCAGTGTAACTCGACTTTAATCATTGAAAGCAGACTGAAAGTAATTAAAAGCAGTAAGATATTTAAAATAAATTAAGTGAACTCATTTGATTGATTCGATTCACTTTGATGCTTCGTTTTTACAAAACTCGACTTGGGAGTTGCCCCATCAGTCTCAAAAGGTGGAGTGGGGCCAAATTGGTAAAAAATAGATTTTATAAAAATCTCCCCCGTCTATTTTCGATAATTGATTTAACATATGACACAAGATATCTCCATTTCAAACAATTGATATTTATATTAAGACAATTAAGTTTATTCCTACTCCACTCCTACGGCTGAATTTTGGGGACAGAGTTCGGTATCTTTGTATGGGTCTTTTAGAAAAATTTCCCTCATATGTTTTTAAATAGATCCTTCGCATATTTTTCAAGAATGTATCTATTACTTTTTGGACTACCTGTATTTAAGTGAATATTATGAAAAGTTTTTACACCAATTATACTAACTTTTATAAAGGAATCTGATTTCCTTGTTGATTTTTTGTTCAACTTCACTTTTATAGATATTGTTGCTTGACAATCAGAATTTTTTGAAAAACTCCTTTTACATTTCTCCTGCGGAACTTTCATAAACGCACTGTGGTGACAAACAAATAATTTCCTGCAATTAAATTATAAAAAAAATATTTACAATCCAATAGAAATATAGTAGAATTAAAAGATGGAATTTTTTGTAAATTCATTCTTTCATTACTCATGGTATTAATTTAATGGACAATTCATAATCATTACCTTTTATTTTGATGGGAATTATGCAATCAAAAATTAGTAAAATAAGCATCTTACAAGACGATTGCTTCATTTCTTAGATGTCAATTAATACTTTTTCGGTATTATGAAACATTTAACAAATAAAAAAAAACATTAAAAATAAGTTATAAATAGGCAAGCATAATGCAGATATTTTAGTTTTAATTTATAATAATAGATGGCGCCACTAATAAATTTTAATCTTAAAATTTTATAATTTAATTTTAGTAATCCACAAGAAATAAATATTAATTTAATTCGATGAACATCAATTTAATTAAATAAATATCAAGTGAAAACAATTCAGTTTTCATTTTATAGTGAGAATAAGAATTAAGCAAAGCAATTAAACTCCAATTTCAATGTTATTCAATCAATTAGAGGTATATTAGCTTCATAAGAACTCATGCATGTAATATTCATAAATTTAACGAAGAAAGCATTTCCCATAAAAATTAAATATAAAATTCTTCTTAAAATAACTAAACTAGTTACTTACCTGCAAACAAATCTTTGTCCATGAGGTTTGGAAGTTCTGGAATTCCATTTCGTTTTGGTAAGTTCCCCAAATTCCTTTACCCACTTGTTGCAATCGTCTAAATTTAGAACATTGCTTCTAATGGTAATGGTATTTGAGGAAATATTTTCTACTTCATTTTTAAATGAAGAGGGCAGTTTCTCTGTTGAAAAAACTGACATTTCAAGTTTTTATACAAAAGCTGGAGTATAGAAATCGCTCTAAGCTGAAAATAGCAAGTATGACAGAATGAAATATGTCACAGATGGCGTTGCCGAGAAAGCCAATCAGCGCGCTCAAAATCTCTTGGGGATACTATGTGTGTAAAGAGAGTTTACATGCGTCCTGGCATTCCTTGGGAACAACTGTGCTTAGCTACAGCAGTATAGATAACCTGTACAGTCAGTTCTGGGTCTTTAAAATATTCAAGTTTAGCAAACCACACGCCCGAACCTTGTGGCAAAGTGATTTTCACCTTTTCCGCTATTTCTAACATCATTTTGGTGGCAACCAGTACAATGATGACGAAGCAGTGAAAACGGTTGTGGCCTCTTGGTTATCGGAGCAGGCGGCAAGTTACTATGAAGAGAGAATTCTAAATCTAGTTTTTAAGGTATGATAAGTGTTTGAGCAATCTTTGCAACTATTTTGAAAAAAGGAGAAGCGTATGTAGATTCAAAAAGTAAATTAGCTTCATTAAAATTTTCTTTCGTTTTGTTTTAATTTTCAAGCGACCCTTACTTAAAAAACATCCCTCTTTCTTTACTCGTACTTAAATCAACGGCTGCTGCCGTTGATTTGAATGTACGACCTTACATTACGGTTTATTTTTCAAAATGTATAAGACTTTAAAACAAACTTTAAATTATGAAAGTGTGTAGAAGAATTGAAAAATGCACATGAAGTACAATGGAATAAAGAGAGTTAACATTCGATAATTAATTTGAGAAAAACTTGTTACTGTTAACTACGTTGTTGTACTGTTAAATTTGTGGTTAAAAATTCAACTACACAAATGAAATTTAACATGCTGAAGGAATATTCATTTGTGAATTTAATGCGAGTTTTTCCGGAAAATGCAATTTGCTAGAAAGTTAGTGCAAGTTTAAATGCTTTTTTTTCATTTTGTAAAAAAAAAATAATAGAAAAATGCTATTTAACGTTATAGACAAATATTTTTCTCTTTTGCAGCATTTATATTATAAGCTTGCATTGGAATTGCTGTTAATCAAACGTTATAAAAAAGATAGAAAGAGATTATACGTTACCAAATATAAATGTTACCATTTAATTTTTTTTTTAAGATAACGTATTTAATGCAAGAGAAATTAAAACAGTTCAGTAATTGACCTGTTATATATCTTGCCAACGATTAGAATTACGTTTCCTTTTTTTTGTCACACATTCTAAATTCTTTAGGAGAAATGTTTTTCAAGAATAGATGATTATTTTTCAAATCCAGGTAATACGTAACAAAACCAATGTTTTTGTTACGATTAACATTTTGACAAAACTTTCTTTCATAAGACTACTATAATTGTATATTTAATTAACGAAATGTTCTCTTTTTTGTTTAAAATACAAACTTTTAAGGAAAAAAATTATTAAAATCTCTCTCTCTCTCTCTCCACTTGCGCCAAAATGCTGTGTACCTCCACGATACACAGCATTTTGGCGCAAGGAAGGTTTGATATCGATTCAAATAACCTTTAGAAAGTTTTATGTCCAATAAATATCTTATTATTTGAGTTATTGGATATTGTTTTTGAACCAAAATGTGGAGAAATGCGATAGATTAAAAGATCTTAATAGATTCTTAATAGATCCTTAATAGATCTAAAATGTGGGGAGATAAAATTTATAATTTTTATATAATTATTTAAAATAATTAAAATATTAACAAATTTCAGTCAATTGAATTTTAAAAAAACAATTTTACCGCGCTACATATGTTTTTCTATGATACATATTTCCAAGTAATAATTGCATTTAAAGCTTGATGGTCCTTATGAGATTAGGCGAAAATTTAAATTGTATACATCAGAATATAATTGAAACGCGTAACCTCTTACACATTGCACTTCTTCATTAGAGTACACAGTGAACAATTATTGATCTTATGATCGAGTTTTCCCTTACTAGGACTCAATCTTAATGGTTCGAAAACCTAATCTTAAATATTCTAATGGGATACCTGCAAGTGACGTTGTGTGGGTATCTCAATCCTAATTAGTTGGTGAAACGTGGCACTTGCTTACGTTAGCAGCTGTTCTTTCCCTTCTTTTTCTAGTATGCCGAGTCTGTCAAGTATCACTTCTCTTAAGTGACACATTCTACATTCTTTCGCAATGATTATTTCACAAGGATTTCAATTTTTTTACTGCATTTTTCTTACTTAACAGACAGGCACGAATCCATGTAGAACTTAAACAAACTAATTATGCATCGAAGTTGCTAGGTATACAAAACAAAAATATATCATGATTACAATAAAATACATAAACAAATAATTAATCTAAATTAAGCAAAATACGTTGACGAGAAAAAAATTATATTTGAATAAATTTGAGGTGCGATACAGTGCTATCTCTCTCTCTCGCTCTCTTTCTTTCTCTCTCTCTCACACACACACACATAACTTACAGCTTACTGGAAAAATTTATGTAAATAAAATAAAATGCAACGTAATAAAATATTTTATTACTCTTCAAATAGAATGCGTAAATAAAATGCTTTTATATTCCTCTTCAACTATGTAACTGTAACATTTAAAAATATATAAGGAATTTATAGCGGTTGTTAAATATAGAGCGAATAAACCTTTGTACATAATTTTCAATAAGTATTTAGATATTTCTGAAATTTCCTATTTATGTTGAATACTTTGCTTGAAAAAGTCTATTTTTTAAGAAATATTTTGTGTTGTCAAAAAACTAATTTAAATCATATTCTTTATAACAATTACTAATTAAAAATGCAGAATTTCAAGAGCTCTGAGCAGAGGTAGGTTAATTATTAAATATTTACGAAATAGTTTTGAGAATTTACTTTTTTTTATCTTTTTACAAACAAGATCGCGCTTCGCTGTTCTAATTTAAAAATGTCATAAAATTATGTATAGCTTATCTAACTGTACAATTAATATCATCGAAAACTTTTTCAGAAAGATGAGTGGCATTGAAGAGATTTAATTATTTTAAGTTATTAAGCTGCGTTACTTCCCTCTACATTTTTCTTGATTGAACACGCGCAAAATGAAATTAAAAAAAGAGAGAAAGAAATCCTGAAAGAATCATTTTTCATTCATTAAAAAAGAATTTTCCGTAGAATCAGTTCTTTAAGCAGAAAACTCATCTGCATCAGATTTCAGATAAATCAAAATATATAAATTGAATAAACATTTCACTCAGTTTTAAAACCATTAAATTGATGCATCGCTGTGACGAGAGTAAAAATGATCCATCAATTTTGTTCTTCCTGTAAGAAGAGTTGATTCGATTTAACTACATATCTACGAGGTTTTGAATTTTTTTATTTATTGAAATTAGAGTTTTCGCTTTTTTTCTATTTCAAATAATAATAATTGCGATAAACCACTTAAGAAAAAAATTAATGTCTATTTTGAGAGAAAATGTTGTTCGTTATCACTTCAAATGCTGATCCCACACCTGTTTTTCTTTTTTATACTGTTAAAACCACCCACCATACTTTTCCTCAAGGACCCATTTTTAACATAAAGAGATGTAAAAAGATTCAACTTCTAATAAAAATAAAACATTAATTTTCCAAAAAAAAAATGCACTTCATGTAAAATAAACCTACACTTCTTAATATATATATATTTTAGTTACATTGTTAAATTAAGGCTTTGAAATGATAAACTGAAATTTAAAAAAAAAAAATTTAAAAAAGTTAAGCTCTAGGCTTTACAAATGATCTAAAAAAGAAGATATAAATCCTATTCATGTCACACTTAAAACCAAAAAAGTGTAGCTGTTTTCGGTTTAAATCGAAATTTGTTACGAAAGAGCTGTGCATAGTTTTTATAAATTTATTTTTGGATATTTTTTATCTATAAATAAAATATAATTTTTGTGAGAACATGAAACAACCTAAAGCATCCAGACTATAATCTTGACCATTATTTATTCCATAACGTATAAAATTGAAAAATAAAAGGTGATTTATTCGGTTAGGAATCAGAATGCGCAATCTACAAGAAGATTTCCCTTGAAGAATAAAACAATATTTAAGTTTTAGTCTTTAAAAGTCACTCCAAATAACATCGAGGAATGTAAAATAAAAACAAAAAATAAGCATCTTTAAAAAAGTTTTTATACTCTTTGACATTTTGAAATTTTTTTAAATAGAAACTGATTTGGTCTACTGCAACATGAATTCAACTTTAGCAACTTCGTGTCTGTAATTACTGAATCCAAGTAATGCAAAGGAAAAAAAGAAATAGGGAAAAAAATTTCAATATTAGCTTACTATAGTAGAGATATCTCATAAACTTATGAAGTGATTAGAGGAAATAAAATTTAATCTAGGAATATTATTAGAATATTTTAATTAAAATATACTAAGTTTAGAATCCTGTCATGAAGAGCGAAATCGAGTCTTCGAAAAATTATGCCAGTGTCTCGTGAGAATCTTTTAAAGAAAAATTTATTCACTTTTGTGCGATAATGGAAGATGGCCAAATGTCTTCTTCCCAAAAACAAAAATACTCCCAAGTGTTATCAGTAAATACGAAAGTATCTTATTTCATGTACTGATTCCTTCCCCGAAATCGTGCACTTTTTTCTTAAGTCAGTACAGTTCTTTTCTTGTATTGAATATTTTGCTGAAGATATGGACTGATTTTCAACAAATGGAAAGATTTTACTGTTATACCTGCTATTTACTGGTATGAAATATTTTATAAAAAGCATTACTATCTCTTAAATACTTAATATTTTTATAATAATATGCAATGAAGAACAGTTTTTATCACAATTAATAATTTCAAAAATGGCTTCGCAATAAATTATGTAACATTGCATTCTATCGCGAACACAAATTTTATTTTATCACTATAATGTTAATATTTTCTTTATGGTAATAGTATCAAGAAATATTGATTAATTTTTCGCAATTTGAATAAAATTTTGTTTGTTGTCTCTGGAAGTGATTCGCGCCAAACGTATTACCGCACTATCAAGGAGGTTTTTCTT